GGAGAGGTCTGCCTCACCATGTGGGTTTCTCTCTGGCCGGCAGGGGATCAAATTCATGCCACAGAGGCTGTGGATTGCTTCATAGTGCGGTCCTTAACCCCTTGCACCACCAGGGAGACCCCACATTACTTTTTGCAAACTTGCATGTTTCAGAAATCTAACTGAGGATAGATTTATGAGGTGATACATCATGAGAAACTTAACTGACTTTTAATTTACCCATTTTTTTGTTATAAAACCCTGGTCAAGTCATTCTGTTTTTCCATTTTTATTTCTTTTTTTTTTTTAAGATTTATTTTATTTATACAAGAACCAGGGTACAGGCCAGATGCGCAGGAGGGTGAGAGGATTCACCAGAGACAGAGTGGGGAATAGAACAGGCAGACTGATAAAATACACTGTTGAGGGGAGCAGCGGGCAAGACAGGAGAGGTCTGCTGTGCTATGTGGGACCCTGGCCAGCCAGCCGGGATGGAACTGGTGCTGCAGAGGCTGCAGACAGCTTCACAGGGCTGCCCTCAACCGCCTGTGCCACCAGGGAGGCCCTCCATCTTTCTTTCTTTCTTTTTTTTTTTTTAAAGATTTATTTTTATTTATTTATTTATACAAGCACTGAGTACAGTCAGAAGCACGGGAGGGTGAGAGAATTCACCAGAGCCAGAGCGGGGAGCAGAGCAGGCAGAAGGACCGAAGTACACTGCTGAGGGGAGCAGTGGGCGGCAGGAGGGGTCTGCGCGCCATGTGGGACCCTCCTCTGGTGGCCGGAGAGCAGCCGGGGATCGAACCGGCCTTGCAGAGGCTGCGGGCAGCCCCGCAACCCAGCGCTCAACCGCTGCGCCACCGGGGAGGCCCCATGTTTATTTCTTTACCTGCAGAACAAGGATATTAATAACTTATGATCCTATGAGAAAATTACAAATAGTGGACTAGATGATAAATTTGAGGACATATAGATTTGAGATATTATTTTTCCACCAGCAAAATAAGATAGAGAACGAAAGGAGACCAGCAGATAATGTCTCACATTACTCCTCCCAAAAGTCACATTACTACTTTCTTCACAGTTGTGGATTCAGGGCCTCCCCTGGTGGCGCAGCAGTTGAGCGCTGGGCTGCAAAACTGCCCGCAGTCTCTGCAGTGCTGGTTGGATCCCTGGCCAGCCCGCGAGGGTCCCACATGGCGCGCAGACCTCTCCTGCCGCCCGCTGCGCCCCTCCGCAGTGTGTTCCGGTCCTTCTGCCTGTTCTGTTCCCGCTCTGGCTCTGGTGGTGAATTCTCTCACCCTCCAGCGCTTCTGACTGTACCCAGTGTTTGTAGTAATAAATAAAAAAAAAAAAAAAAAAAAAGAATTGTTGATTCAGACAACACCAAGCACTTATTATGACTCCAGAACAGAATGTAAATGTTTATAACTTGGATAACGTAGAAGTAATTACATTATACATATTTAACAAAAGAAGAGATGGAAGAGTCACTGGAGAAAAACTGGGGTTACCTCACTAACATCTTTATTTTCATGGAAGGGAGATGAAATAGAAACTAAAGTTGATAGAGACATGAAAGTGAAAGTATATTTAAGTAACAAATATAATCAATAGAAAAATGAGCACAATAAACATTTAATGAAGAAAGGGAATGAAATATAGTGTATGTGAACTAAATATGGTTTGTTCCTAAAAAAGAAGCTCATAGTTAACATTTAACGTTGATAAAGTGATACATAAAAAAAAACATAAACATTTTTCAGAACTCTGAAGATAACTAACATCAGAATACAAAAGGATGGCTCAAGATAATTTTCCACTTAGCTAGAAGTAGCAAGGTATGAGTTATGAAGCCGTTGGTTTCCAATACGAGTGCTTCTGTATCATTTGATTGTCTTACCATTTTATAAAACATGGAAGGGAAAAAAAGCAAACAACTCAAAAAGACAGGTCTTCTTATTTATCTTTAATGGCATCAAGATAACCTGTTATTCAATATTTTTCTTTTTAAGAATTTTATTCTCAGCTATCTCTTTCTTTCATTCTACACCTGTGTTATTTGACATGATAGCAACCATACTAAAAAGTGACTTTATGAAATTAAATTAATTTAATAAAATAAAAATGTTGAGGTCCTAGGTCTCAATCTGCCATTTTTCATGGCTAGTAGGTACTGTGTGGAACAACATAAAATCATGGAATTTTCCATTGTTTTTGAAGTTTTTATTCCCTCATTCTAAGCAAACTCATCCACACTTAAGGTTTTTACTACCATTCATTCTTGGATGACTCCCTAATCTTTACCTCTAGCTGAAGATCCTGTCTTCTGAGCAACATGTCATCAAGGCACATGTTAATCAGACAAAAATATTTTCATTTATGTTCTCCAGTCCAGATTTGATTGGATACTGTGACTGTATTCAGATTCAAACATGCTGCATCTCCCATGAATGTCATTTTTATTTCCTACATTCTCTACCTTTGTAGTTGGAACCATCATCTGCAATGGCCTGAAATCAGAAGACTGTTCTCTACAGCTTGTAGCTCACTCATCTGAAGCTGATATCCAGTTGAACCTCAGCTTATCACTTCCTCCTGGCACTTTCTTTTTGCCAGAGCATCTACCAGGTCATCACGTTCTACTTTCTATAGGGCTAGCCTACTGAGCTTGCTTATGCTCACTGATCTCTATTCTAAAACCCACACACTTCTGATTGGCAACCTGCTAGTTTTCTATATGATTTTTTAAAATCATCATTCAGCTAGTTTTCTTATGATTTTTTTAACCCAGCAAAATGCTATTCCCTACTTTCTGTAGTTATGACACATTCTGAGTGTTGCTATGTGTTTTTGATGTAACCACAACAAAGTTAGGAAATAAAGACTTTGATAAAATGAAAATACTATTTCTTTCTAAGTTTAGGGAGAAAGCCTAATTTGGTCTTCTGTTTGACCACAAAAAGTCAGTGGTTTCACAGAAGCTTAAGCCTATGTTACTGAAATGAGTTGAAATTAAAATGCCTATAGCATCTGTATCATAAAACACATTTACTAATTGCCTAGTATTTGTAAGTGTCTATGCTAAAGGAGAAATCGGGATACCTTTGAGGAGCTCATAGTCAATGAGGGAGAAATAGCTTAACAGTTATAGTTAACGTAAGTTAGATTGTGGATCCAGTGGTTTGACTAGCTCAGATCTGGTCCAACCTTGTCCTAATGGACATTTGGTACTACAAAAATTAGAAAGATAAATATTGAAATTCTCAGATTCTTTGGTAACTAGATTCTGAATGTGAGAAAGTTCTACCTCAATCAATGAGCACACAATCTTCATCAGATTTCATAGCTTTCTTGTACTTCACATTCCTCATTATATTCTTGAGTTTGTGAGAATTCATTAGTATAGTGAATGCAAAGAACTTAGCTCACTGCCTATGAACACTCAATAAATTCATGCAGTTAATTTTAAGAAAAAATGAAGTAATACCCTTCCAGTGCACTGTTCCAGGATAAGTAAGGAGAAAGAGGGTAGAATGTGTCACATTCATTTTGTTGGTCAGATCTAGCAGATGCATTGTGGCACTGGAGCCAGCAATTCTAGTGGAAACTTCTGATCCTTGGGTCCTCTCTAAGACTGAGTGGTCCTGGCACCTGCTATCGGGATAGCAACTTCTTATTGCCTAGATTCTTCTGTATGGCAGAGGTAATGGATCTTACTTTGAAGAAATATTGCTGTGTGGTTCCTTAACTCTAGTCACTTTCAGAGTTCTACTTAGGGTTTGTGCCTCCAGTCTTTCTAATGAAGTATAAGGACTCAATTCCATATATTAAAACATGCTATTTTAAAATAGAAAATATGTTTTAAAAATGAAATGGGTTTTATTATGTGAAACCAAACCCAATCTGATATAGACAGAATGGACAAAGGGTATCATGTCTCTACTATTAGCAAGCTATGGTGGTTTTGTGATTTATGAATGACAGTAATAGACCAATCACTACTTCAGATCTTAGGTTTTTTCAGTTATAAAATGGAAAGCAGCTCTGAAGAAGGACATGGAAATGACATTCTTCTTATTCTGCCTACTAGGAAGAATTTCCTTCACCACTATTTTGCAGGACCATCATGGACAGCTCTCAGATAATCAGCATATCATACTGAGCCTTCTATAAATCAAGTCTTATTTCCTAAGTCCATTCATTTTCCCTAAAACTTCCATGAAGCCATAGACATGGGTTGAAAGAGAAAAAAAAAAATTGTAGTAGGAATAGGTGTCACGGTTCTTTGGGAAACTTTTTCAATAATCTTGCTTGTGCCCTCAAAACTGAGATTATCTGTGTATGTATTTCCTCCAGTGTGTGATAGAATGCTGCTGTGCATTTCTAATTTTATAACTTGATGTTTCAGACAATAATCAGTTCATTATAGGCAGCTGAGTTTGTATTGCATTTTGATGTTATATGGGCAAGAACTTAGTCTTTACTAGGGCCCAATAGAAAAACAAAAGACATTTCTCAATATGATAACTGTTTTCCAAAGAGGATGGCATATCTTTGCTTAATGTCCTAAGATCTTGGACTTTGATTCACCAAGAAAAATGACCTCAGGTTCTATATAGTATCTCTATTGCCACAGATACTTCACACACAATGAATCTTCAGGTAACATAGCCCAAGTGGTGAAGTATCTTATACAACAGACTGGACCTGTTCAGTTCCTTCTTTTGTTCTGGATCCCACTCAAAACTGTTAATTTTATGATTACTTGGCCAGTTGGTTCAAATAACACACCCCGGTGACATATATGTGGAACTTTCTCAGTCATAGAAGAGTAGGAATTTGTCATTTCCTTTACTCGTGTCTTGACATATCTTAGACAACTAGTTCCCTAGAAAAGTCACCAATGTGACTTTAGAATGACAAAAATCCTGAGAATTGGGGAATATATTTTTATGCATGTCAGACAAGTGTTAGAATAGATACTACTTCCTATTCACCCAGTTACATGAATATATTACCATTGAAAAAGACAAATGTAGCTTCTTATGGAATGGAGAGATGATCAAGTTCCTTGTTGACTCGAATATGACATAGGTTTGGAAGGTTGATAGAACCCTGAGTGTATTTCTGGTCTTGATGGCTGAAAATAAACTGGTAAAAATTAAAAAAAAAATCAATTACACTTACTAGATAGATTACTGTATATGCATCAGGTGCCAGAGAATATAATGTTTTGCTTAAGCAACAAAACTACATCTGATTAATAGCTGCAGTTTACATTAGCACCTTACTAAGTGTTCAGTACTCCATGCTCATTCTGCAATTTTTCTAGATGTCTAACCAAATTCAGTCTTTTAAAAAGAAGTTAATAGTGTGATTACTGAGAAAGTTAGTATCTCCCCAAATAATTATAAAAAAATTGCCAGTTTGTACCAATACAGCGCTGGAGAGCATGTATGGAAACTAATCCAAAGAGTATTAAATCTGGGTGGAAGAGTGTTGGGGTCAACAGAATTTATTGATAAGAGTGAACCAAACTGAGATTCTGGATTCAGTGTTCTTGAACCACTGAACTATTAGAATAATTCTAATAGTTTTCCTGATCAATTGACTAAAACATGAACCCAAATGAGATATATGAAGCTGAAATTTTAGAAGGTATCCAAAAGCTTAGGGAGACCAGGATGATAATATGCATTTAAAGACTTCTCACCTACCTTCTAACTATGTCCCCTAAGGAAATCCAGAGACACTTCTTTCACCAATGCCATGAGAAATACATTCTTTTTTTGGTGGGTGGGAGGGTAAAGAGAGGATCTTAATATTCTGAAACAGCTCCATTGTGGTTATTGTCTGCAGTGGGGCAGAGAATACTAAGTTGACTGAGAATAATGGTATCCAGGGGTGACAGATGCTGATCCAAGTCAGACTTCAGTTCACATCTGCTTCTACACTTCAAATAATACTTGAATGGGCTGCCCATCTATTTTTGTTCTAGAGACAAAACAATCAACTAACCAATACCCAAGATCTCTGTGGATCAACCATTCTGATTAAGGCTTTGACTCAACTGTTCATGGTGATAACCATGACACCTTGTCTTCCAGGCTGAAGAAAAAAAAAAAAAACATTGAAAATTAATATTGGATTTAGATACTATAGAAGAAAAAAAATGGCATTGACTCAGGCAGAACTACAAGATAAAATGTTATACAGAAAAAAATACTTTAGGGGGAAAATAACAAATAAATTTAAATGTTGAAAAAGAAAGCATTGATTACTAGGACTAATACACTACTAGAGATTACTGAGTATGAATAACTCATACTAAAATGATTTCATTTGTTCTTTGAATATGCAAAAAAATTTATAGAATATTGAAGCTAACTATAAACTGCATGTGAGCAAATAATATGATAAAGAAAACTTGGATTTCATTAATGAAAATTTATTGGCAGATGACAAGAATCTACTTTCTAATGTGCACTAGTCAGTCTATATTTGAACTCCTGTGCCATGTTGAATACAATGTTTTTTGTGTTTTTTTGTTTTTTTAAGATTTATTTATTTATTTATTTATGCAAGCACTGGGTACAGTCAGAAGCGTGGGAGGGTGAGAGAATTCACCAGAGGCAGAGTGGGGAGCAGAGCAGGCAGAAGGACCGAAGTACACTGCTGAGGGGAGCAGTGGGTGGCAGGAGAGGTCTGAGCACCATGTGGGACCCTCCTCTGGTGGCCTGGAGCAGCTGGGAATCGAACCAGCCCTGCAGAGGCTGTGGGCAGCTTCGCAACCCAGCGCTCAACCATTGTGCCACTGGGGAGACCCTGAATACAATGTTTTTAAAGATTTATTTTTTATTATTTTTCTTTCTTTTCTTTTTTATATTTTATTTTTTTACATCATTGTTCATTTTTAAACAATATTTGCTTCTCCCCACCAAAGATTTATTTTTTTTTTAATTTTTTATGCATACAAGAACTGGGGTATAAGCCAGAGGTGTGGGGGGTAAGAATATTCAGCAGAGACAGAGTGGGGAGTAGAACTGCTGAGGGGAATAGCAAGCAAAACAGGAGAGGTTTGCTGTGCTCTGTGGGTTAGCTCCCTGACCAGGGATCAAACTTATGCTGCAGGGGCTGGTGATAGCTTGACAGTGCTGAGACTTTAACCCCTGCAACACCAGGGAGGCCTGAATATAATTTTTTAAGAAGTGTTAGCCAGGGCCTCCCCGGTGGCGCAGCGGTTGAGCGCTGGGTTGCGAAGCTGCCCGCGACCTCTGAGGCGCCGGTTCGATCCCCAGCTTCTCCCCTGCCACTGGAGGAGGGTCCCACATGGCGCGTAGACCTCTCCTGCCGCCCGCTGCTCCCCTCAGCAGTGTACTTCAGTCCTTCTGCCTGCTCTGCTCCTCGCTCTGGCTCTGGTGAATTCTCTTACCCTCCCGCTCTTCTGACTGTACCCAGTGCATGTATAAACAAAACAAACAAACAAACAAATAAATAAATAAATAAAACATGCCTCTATTAAAAAAAAAAAAAATTTACAAAAAAAAAAAAAAAAAAGAAGTGTTAGCCAAACAGAATGGTCCTGTATATAAGAGATTATTTCAATAAGGATCCTGGATAATCCATTATGTAAAGAATGATTTTAGTAGTTGGGCAGCTTTGTGTCAATAAGAAAAACATAACTATTTTCTTGTGTGAGCAACAATTTACCTTTATTTAAAGAGTGATCTTGTGAAACAGGAAGTGGATGCATTTAGAGAATCCTCAAAATAAGATCTAGTAACAAGGATAATTTTCCATTGAAGTATTTATAAAATATTGGGTGCAATATTCAGAAAAACTATGCTAGCTGTGCTGCTTAGCAGTAGAATTAGCAGCTATGGAAAGAAAACAAGGGTTTCTACATTCTGAGAAGGTTGCTACAGAAGTTGAATCTGTATCTGCGGTGTGCATTTGGTTGAGTGCATTCCTGCAAGAGGTAGGAGGCTAAATTAGATGACCTTTAAAGTCCCTTCCCATCTCAGTTTCAATGCTTCCATAAAGAGTCTTAAAGGGATTTCTGAGATGCATGGGGCAGGCATAATGGACAGGATCTGAGTGGCAAGTTGGTGCTTCAGATCCCAGTGTATCCTCATCCATAATTTAGTGTCATGACCCCTCATATCTGCATTAAAACACAAGAGTTCATTGAACCTGACCTGCTGTTTTCTCACCACAAATTGGCTTAGGATACAAAATTCAGAGGCATGCTTTTTCCATATTATTGATGGAGATATGTAGAAAGTGCAGTGGGCCAGCAATAGGAAATTGGGAGGTTTAGAGTCTAATCCCAGCACTTCCCCAAAAAATCATCTGCTCTTTGAGTAATTTTTTGCAAATTCCACTTGGCTTTACTGAAAAAGGGGAGTTGTAAGATATTTACTAAGACCTTTAAAAAAAATGGGTGTAATATAGCTCATTAGATATAAGATCTAGACTTAAAAGCAACCTCATGACTTCACCTCTCATATTTCACATTGATTTCAGTCCAGAAATGAAATAGAGCTCACTCTTTTTTTTGTATTGGGGTTGAGGCTAAAGAAAGGGTTTAGAAGAGGATAGATACCATATTTCCTCCTTATGGCTACAGAATTATTCTTAGGAGTTGCCATAATAGAGAGGTTTAAAGTAAGTACTGATCCATGCTCAGTTACCATCAAGGTCTCAGAGTTCATCCTCTGCCTCTGAGGAACTGGTATCTCCAAGGAAATCAGGAGGTCTGGCCCTAACTGCCTTAGGAGCACGTTGTGGGAGGTGCAGACCTAGGGTGAGTTTACACATCAGTGACTAAAGTTTCCTGCCACTAAGCAAAGAAGTCACTCATGAGCAGCGTCCCTAAACCACAGCTACAGGATGTGGGCACAAACCCTTGTATAATTGTTGGCTAAGAGCCAATGAGCATTCATCCTTGTGCAAATACTTGGGCTTTTTTTTGTTGTCAACCTTTGAAAACCACAGGCATTAGTCTCTCTCTTTCTTCCCGTTGGCACGAGTCATCTGCTATTCTCTTACTTGGTCTCTTCTGTGTAAAGAATTTCTGAGGAGCTTTTAAGCCTAAATTTAATACTTTTGCCCTCCCCTCTCCTGCCCCACAAAATGCCAGGCAGAGCTAAAGCTGCTTTACAAAATAGCTGCTGGCTCTGCTGGTTTCCGCAGATTTGTTTGGGCTTCTCGATCAGATAGGAAATCAGAGAACTCTATGAGTGACCTTAGCCTTTAAGAAAACACAGGTAATTTTTGGAAATCCCCCCTAAGCAATGGTGATCTATTGTTTTCTTACCTCAGAAATAACCCAGCAACTACGATGCACTGATTTAGATGTTACGCATTTCCCTGGGCATGGAGATATATGGAATGAGCTGTGGGCCAGGAATAGGAAATTGGAAGCTTTACAAACTAGTCCTAATACTATCAAAAAATCACCATCTGCTTTTTGAACAATTTCTTTGCAGTTTCTAGGTCTTTGCTTCATGTTCTGTGAAATTAAAGTATTGGATTATATGGTTTCTATGCTTCCTTAGACCCATAGCCCTGTGAAAAGACTTTCTTAGAGGAAAGACTTAACGGTAAAATAAGAATTGGCCTCAAGGCAAAGGATCCAAAACTCATAAATCTATTTCTTTTTTCTGCTTTAGAGGATGACCGATGGCCTAACCTCTAAAGAGGCCTAACTACCCTCTAGGAAAAGGCATGATGAGTCTAAACTGCTGTCATCTTGCAATTGTAGAGACTCAATCAACCTGGGCTCTGTACCCAAATGTCTCACATATTTGGATGGAAACCCAAGCTGAACCTATTTTAGCATTAGAATTTTTTTAAGAGAAAGAGATGGCAGATGATGTGGCAAAGCGTAAGTCAACAGAAGGAAAATTTTCTGACCATTAGAACAGCCTAAGATGCATCAGAAATCTATGAGTAATCTGTTGATCGAGCTGATCAGGCAGTTTGTTAAGGAGAATTCTTGGGGATTTTCTAATGGGAATTTCTCAATGGGATAAATATCATATAAGGGTGGCCAACATGATATTTATATAATGATATGCTTTGTACGAAATGCCTCTTTTTTCTAATTCTAGTCCCAGTCAAACCTACAGTGATCATTTGCAAATATTTTTTGGTATAGCTCAGGTAACAATCTGAAAAAGTCCTAGAATACACACAGCTCCTCTGGTTTGATTTTGCCCATTGAGCTAAAGGACAAGGACCCCAATGAGAGCCCAAATGTCAAATGAGACAATGATGATCAGTAGACTCAGTTCTCAGAAGAAACTGAATTTATTTCCCTTGGCTATTGTTTCTCTTTCTGATGTCAAAGCCATCCCACTCTATAGACAGTTACTAAATGATTTTTATTTTGTAAAATAATTTAACTTTATTTCATTGATTTCTTATATTATAAGAAGTAGGCAGAAGAGGTATCATCGTCTCTATTTTGCAAATGAAGAAATTAAACCTTAAGAAAGTTAAAGTAATTTTCCAGGATCTCACATGGCTAATTTAATTTTTCCAACCAAGGAAGTCTGATTATTTAATCAGTATCAACAGTTATTTGAAGAATTATATGACTCAAAGCTCAAATGGTTATATCAATCATTTCTCCAGTAATCGATTTACAATATCCACTTTATCTAGTTCCTATGTGAGCGTATCAAGTGATGGGGAGAACAACAACTTCAAGAAGCAACACATCCCAACTTTGGGCATTTCTAACTTTAAGAAATTCTTCTTTTTTAAGATTTATTTATTTATGCGTGCAAGAACTGGGGTATAGGCCAGAGGTGAGGAGTTAGGTGGGAGAGGATTCACTGGAGACAGAGTGGGAAGCAG